GCTTCACCACACATACAGGTAAAATTATAATGATTATTTGAACGCCAAAAGTTGTCACCCTTTGTCGCCATTGATTTGAGTGTCGCCTTTGATACTGTAAACCACTCTGTGATTGGGGACGTTGCAGAATTGTTTTGGTGTTTTAGGTACTGCGAAAACATGGATTGATTCTTACCTATCTGACAGGCGTTATGAAATTCATATTAACAACGCGAATTCTGCCGTTCAACCAATGCATTTTTCTGTTCGCCAAGGAAGTATCAACGGTGCAGTTTATTTTACCTGCTATTCGAGTATTTTAAGAAATTGTGTTGACAACGAATTAAATCTTGTTGGATATGCAGATGATCACAATGTGTACGGAAGTTTTGATAGAGTAATATATCAGAGGAGGCCAGGACCATGCAAAACTTGTCTGATGGATTCAACCAGACAATGGATGGTGGAGAATCGGCTCAAAATGAATGATGATAAATCGGAATTTATGGTGTTGTCTGTTGTCTGAAACAAAAGTGTGACATCTGAAAAAATGTTGGTGCTGTGAGTGTTAACTGCTCAGAATGCGTAAAGGTTTTGGGCATTTCCTTTGATCAACACCTGGATTTTGATAAGCATATAGCGGTAAAACGCATACCAAGTATTAATGAAAAACAAAAAGATCAAAACTTTCATCAACACATCAACGTGTTTAAAGCTAGTCAACGCCTTGGTATTTTCACATTTAGACTATTGCAATAGTCTCTTTATCAATCTGCCTCGAACGACCATTCAACCACTACAACGAGTGCAAAATATAGCTGCTAAATTGATCCTGGATCTACCAAAAATATGCACGACAGAGGCGTAAAAGGGGCTTAACATTCTTTCAATACGAGCCGAGTACAAACTTCTTCTGATGGTGTACAAATGGTTAAATAAATTGGCTTCAAAATATCTATCAGATCTCTTAAATCTAGATATAAATCCGTATTGCCTATGTCTCTTAATCTTCCTGTACCAACAACAAAATATAAAACACATGGGGATAGGTCATTCAGTGTAGCAGGACTACGGTTATTGAACAAGTTGTCTGAACAGTTAAAAACCTGTAAATCTGTTGACTCTTTTAAGAGAAATTTAAAACAACCTTTTAGAAAAACCTTTACCTATAACATGTAGAAATATTTGTGTTTGTAAAGTGCCATTGAATGCTAACATTAGAGCAGTAAAGAGCGCTCTACTAAGTTCAATAATCTTAATCTAATTGCGTATCTACAGAAATAAACTAATCCATTATTAATTTTAATAGAAATACAGAAAGACTGTTATGATATTATGATGAGTGGTAATACCAAGACTCCATACAAGAATTCAACTTATGTCATTGATCCTGATGGTCCTGATGGTGTCGACCCTTTCATTGTTAAATGTTATTTTGATAAGAGAAATTCCAATGCTGTAACGGAGGTAACGCTTCATCCATTTAATTCTAATAGTACTGAATTGCATGTTTAGGCTACATCACTCTTGAAGACTTTCTCAAAAATGATAACTGTGCATCCATTTTGCGTAGTCTAAACAAACGTTTTTCTTAATTGATACTCTATTTACTTCAATATATTGAATAATAAATCGAACTAATATAATAACAATCTAGACTATGTTACCTTTTGCCCTATTATGAAATATCTCATATTTGCATTTGATTGTAATAAATTTCAGGTATTACCAGAATCAGCTGTTCCAGAAGAAATATCAGGAAAAACGACCCCAGATTCATTTTCTGTACCATTCAAATATAAAGGTGCCACACCAGAACAAATCAATGCGTTAACTCGACAAGCACCTTTCTGTCATCAAGTAAGATATGTACCATATAGAATTATATACAACTACTTTCAGTGTATAAACACCATATACCATTCACTTTAAAATTCGTAAATCAGGATTCAATAGCTGACGAAATCTGATGAAGCATTAGTCTTTCTATCAAAGTGCAGTGTTCGCGAAGAGCATAACACCCCGTGCACAACATCAGCTATAATATCACTGAGCATGCATTGTTAGTCTCCTGAGACCAAGCGAAATATCTAGAACATGGTTTTTTTTTCAGATACTACCACTCCTATATCGTTGAATCCTGTACAGTGGCGTTGTTAGGAAACATAAGGGAGTGGGAAAGGGGGGGGGGACAGAGACCATACCCCACTTGTAGAAACGCCACTGGCCCTGTATACTTTGCCCATTCAATTAAATCGTTATCGTTTATTGAAATATATTTAAGGGTATATATTATGAATGCCAACAGTCTCCAATCACGAACGCTATTCAAGTGAATGTAAATGGACAAGAAACAAACAGCTTTGGTACTGCATCTGACAGTTCTATAAATGGTTGCCCATGTAGCTTACTAGGAACATGTGATGACATGAAATGCCGTTGTGATGCTAAAGGATCTATGACGGCTTTTGATAATGGAACCATCACAGATCGAAATGTATTGCCAGTAACTGAAGTAAAAGTTGGTGGTCAATCTGAATCGGGCAAAGCATCCATATCAGTATCATCGGTACGATGTGCTGAAAGACCAGTTGGTAAGATTTTTTTTTTCATCTATACATATTTCCGATCTGTTTAATGAACGCTCAATTTTTTAAGACACTAAAAAAAGTCGAATCGAATTCTATTTGCGTATTTTCCATCGAATTTTGATGGGTAACTTCTTCTTAGTTGTAAATTTCCTCGAAGTCCTAGTTATTAGGCCGAATATGCAAATGTACAAATGTATCTATAACAGATTTTGGTTTTCAGATTTCCCTAAAGATTGTGAAGAGGCTTTCAAACGAGGTTATTTAACTGGTGAAGTAATGATCTACCCGTCCGCAAATCTTGATCCATTCTTTGTGTATTGTGATATGGAAATTAATCCAGGACATGGTAGGTCCTTTTTTAAATATATATTACCTCTACATATTATTATAGTAGTAGCAATAACTGGGTCTCTCTGAGAAGATAGAAAAAAAAATATTATTAATGAATCGGCAACAATTCTATGATATTATGTTACCAGCTATGTTAAATCCACTACAAATCAAATTGTATCTTGTGAGGTACCATTGTTTTTATCTGAAATATTTATATACATGAATACAGAGTTAGAAGTAAAAATTGTTAAGGTTGACAATGTTTAATTTACAGGTGTTGCAGTCATTAATAATAATCTTCAACCAAACACTACTATACCCTATAACGGTAACCCAATAGATGTAACTTATAAAGGTCCAACTGTAGAACAGATTAAAGCATTAGTTAAAATATCCTCAAATTGCTACCAACCAGTTAGATATGATTGTAAAAACACAGTCGTAAGTATTAATTAAAAAAAAAATAGAATCCAAGAACCTAGATTTAACAAGCTGTGTACATTAGCAATCCATAGACAGCTTGATGAAAAGTTAAGAAAAGAGCAAGCAAACTGATTAATCTTATCAGTATCATTGCATGTTCGTTATACATTTCCATTTTCAGTAAACTATTGAAAAAACTTTCGTTTCTTTTTAACATGCATTATCCTCTCCCCAAATTATGCCTGTCTCAAATGAATTGTTTTGATCAAAAAATATATTAAGATTTGATTTACTTACCGACCTTTTTTGTTTTCATTTCGATTAGTTTTTGGAGGCTGGAAAATTCTCATGGACAAGTCTGGATGGAGGAGACAAAACCTATTTTGGAGCCGGAAGTCAAGCCAAAAAGGACTGTACGTGTGGTGAAGAAAATCTATGTGGTGGTGACGGTGGACGAACTGCCATGCAAAAACGGTAAAATACCTTGAAATGTACATACTAGTGAATAAAAATACAGTAACAGATTATAACATTCAATAGTTGAGTATAATGGCGAATTCGCCATCGAGGCAAGTCGCACTTCATATTAATAAACAGCGCATGGCCAGAATACATATTTGAATAATTTTATACATTTGAATTATTAATCTTGATAAAGAATCTCAGGAGCATAATATAAAGCAAACACTAATTTATTAATTTTCCATTCTACCATTGCCCTGCTTTCAGAGACTGTAATTGTGGAATCAATGACGGTAGATCAAGAAGTGACTCTGGTGTATTTAAGAATACTCAAGATCTTCCTATCAAAAATCTCAAGTTTGCAGCTACAGGTGTAGCAGATTCTGCTGGTAAAATCACTGTTGGTCAGTTGTTCTGTGGACAGAGCCCAATCAGTAAGTTTTATTTTACATTTAGAGAGTATCATGCCAGCCAACACTATTGTACATAACACAAGCTATAAACGAAACATGAGTTTACGAACACCATTGATAGGGATCATCACTGCTTTTCTTTGTTTTAGGACTAAATGAATGTGAACTAGGATTCCATGACTGTCACGAGAATGCTACATGTTTGAATACACAAACTGGATTTGAATGTGTTTGTAAGAAGGGTTGGCAAGGTCGAGGACAAAGTAATGTATGGGCTAATGGTAGAGAATGTTACGGTAAGTCAAGCTAGCAATAGTGTAATAAATGGACAAAAATATATCAACCAATAACACACTAGGGTCATTACATATAGAGATAATTATTCAATTTCATAATAATGATTACCTAAAGGCTATGTAAGTATGCCTCGGTGTTTGGGAATCGATAAATAAAAATACCGTTTAACTGTCTATTAGTACCATCCATACGCCGATAATTTGCTTCAAATTAAAAACTTAAATGATAGATATCCATACAAGCCAGACAATTCAATCAAATATCTCTCCAAAGAATGGCAAACGTAGAGAAGTACCTTCGGGGGTTTTAAAAAGAGAAAGCATGATCTGCCTCGAGCGAGACACCCGCGACTACTACAATAGTAAAATCATGAGATACAACTAGTCATGCTGGACCAAACAAATCAACCTAAATGCATGAAGTGAACATAATTTCTCGAAAACAAGGTGTTTTTCCTTCAACACTCCATAATCATAATCTATACTTGATTTTTCTATTTTAGATGACAATGAATGTACATTCTTGCCTTGTCCATCTACTGCTACCTGTGACAATACACCAGGATCATTTAAGTGCACTTGTAAGGAAGGATTCCGTCAAACTGGACTGCAATCTTGTGAAGGTAATCTTCCAATCATCTTTATGCTGACGACACGCGTTTCGGGAACACATTTTAAAAATTGGGTTACATTCTAATATTTTAGGAATTGATAATGGGCATACCTCTGATGGAAATCTTTCTCAACTCTAAAAATAGCAAAATTCCTCTGGAAAAATGAAGAAAATATCTTCTGATATAGACGTCGTAACATTGAGGATATGTTGATATCTTGGACTGGACTGTCAAAACCTGGTTGTATTCCAGAAGGCATCCTGGTATCTGGATTTGCCATCTGAATACTGGTTTTGTTGGGTATAGTAGAACGTCTTACGGCAATCTTTTATTATTTCCATTTAATTTCTAGACATCGACGAATGTACGGAAAATAAGCACAACTGTGATCCAAATGCTCGATGTACCAATACATTTGGATCATTTTTCTGTACATGTAAACGTGGATATAAAGGAGATGGTGTCAATGGTACCTGTAAAGGTATTGTTAGGTTTTTTTTATTCTGTATCTGGATCCAATCACGAAAACACAAAACAAATTCAGAAAACATGTAATTTATCACTACAGTAGTGTAGATGATATATTTAGCTCTAGATTAGGTCTGTACTGCAATCATATATGACTATAACGATGATTGTACTTTAAGTAAATGTACATGTACGTCCTGGCAATACAGATTTGTCTGTGTCTCAACTACCACCCGTTGGGGCATTCACCCCCAGAAAAAAATGCAGAAGAGTTTTCTGGATACGAACTCTCAATCATATTGTTGAGCTACTGAGATTCGTAGATAAATGAGAGGTTCACAACCTTTTTTCTCCAACTTATGATAAATTCAATCTTATGTTATGGCTAACCAATACTTTTGGTTAGTGCCCATGTGTACTATTGTAATTCTAAAACTAAAACCATATATAAACCTGTAAAAGTTCCAAGTAGACTAACCTTAATTTTTTTTATGTCAATAGGAATCGGTATCTGTGCTTGTTTTGGTGATCCACATTGTATCTCATTCGATAATAAATGGTTACATTTTATGGGTCAATGTGAATATGTCATGGCCAAAGATGGTTGTGACGGTAAATCACCCCAAACATTCTCTGTTGTGACTCGAGATTGGGATATGAATAGACGTGATATTAAAGGTATTTCCTGGGTTAAAGATGTCACAGTCACCATCAACAATACGGTAGGAATTTAGATTTTCATCAACACGAGCATATCCACGACTGAGCTGATGAAACGAGGGACCATTTAATTAGATCGTTAAATTCTCATCGGCTGTCTTCCTTTTAACGTTTTGTTGCAACTCTGTCTTTTGTGGCAGTCGGAAGTGAGTTGGATTGTCGTCTGCTTGGCGATTATGTGCCGTAAGAAATTTTCTGATGCCATCACCATTCCTTCCGAGTTTCAGACCGGTATTGGATTGAACCCTCTATTAACTAATACTGCAATATAAAAAATGTCGTTGAATTTAAAAACATTTAAATTTCTGTATAAACCTCTATACTTTTGGTACATATCTTTGCAGAAAATTTTCTTGGGAAGAAATCGAGAAATTCGTATAAATGATCGTTTATCTCTGGCCTATAATAAAGATGGTATAAGTGTAGATGATAACGGCAGAGAAGTTGTAAGTACATAGCTTCGTTAGAGATTCAATCTAGATTCTTTACAGATTCAATATAGATTCTTTACGAATTCGTTCTATATAGATTATTAATAGTCGTCTCAGTTAATTCGATGATTAATTTCTTTAAACATTTTGGTGTTAACAGCAACATCAACAACGGCGGCTCCAAATCAATTGGGATGAAGGGTAACGAAAATCTATAATATTTCTGTAAAGAATCTATATTTTTCGTCTTCGTCGCTGGTTTATTTACCTAATTTTATTTTTGGCAGTGTCACGTCCCCCTAATTCAAAGCTCTAAGACGCGTCATGACTATGAGAATAACATTTTGCACTATTTTGCTCTATATTATGCGTCATTAGGATAACTATTAGAAAGATAAGTAAGTTAATACCATCGTTTATTACAGAGCCTGTATATAAAATGATTTTAGCTCGACGAATACGCACATTTAGAACATTTGACATCATTCTGTATATTGATAGGTTGTTAAAACCGACTTTGGAGTGGAAGTTACATGGGATGGTCAAGATGAGGTCGAACTTATTCTAAGCCAGGACTATAATGGAAAAACGTGTGGCTTATGTGGTAACTATAATGGCGATAAGTATGACGACTGGGTGGTTGGAGATCATTGTGAAGAAAAAGGCAACGTGGTAGGATTTATAGATCAGTTTCGTTTTATTACCTTTCATTATGCCATGATTTTCCTGATTGTGCACAGACATTATCTTAATGTAATTGATGCATAATAATCTCAACTGTGTGATTCAAACGTATTGAGATCTATCAGATCTATTCTGATTCGAAGTAGTTCATTTGCTAAATTTTTCTTTCATATGGATTTTGTTTACTAAATACCATGCGTTTCAGACCGACAATGAAAATCTGTTTGGTAATTCCTGGGTAGTTCCTGAATTTATTCAAAGTAATGGAGATTGTAAGGCAGATTGTGATGCTCCACCAACAAATGATACTTGTGATATTACTAATGAAGTCATTGTGTATTATTGTTCAAGTGTATTTGTTTCTTCTGTTTCACCATTCGGGGTAGGTAATCTGTAACAAAATTCACCAATAATCCCCCCCTTTCAAAAAAAACAAAACAAAAACAACCCCAAAACAGGAAATCTAAAGTAAAGAAAAAAAAACCTAATGGTAGGGGCATTCTGCAATTATATAGCATATTGCCTTTGCATTTAAGATTACAGATAATGTATTGAATTGCAAGCTGTATTGCTATTGTATTGGTGTGTTTTATATCAAATATAAAACTGAAATTTCGACATATCTGTTCATATTTTATTTCCATTATATACATTGTAAAGATTAGACGATGTAAAGGATATTATCCAATATTTCAGAATTGCATAAATCAAATGGAAGAAACGGTTTATAAGGAGATGTTCTTTAGTTGTGTCTATGATCTCTGCCATGTCTCACAAGATTATCGGTTGGGTATTTGTGCCAGTGCACAGAGACTTGCAAATGAATGTCAGAAGAACATGAATTTTGACGTTGCTGTTTGGAGACCATTTTACTCTTGTGGTATGTATTCCACTTTACATAATACAAAACTGTAAACACAAATACAGGTGATTGTAAGTAATATAGTAGTAACATTTTGGAATCATCATTATTTCACCACCACGCATTAGTTATGTCTGTCTGAGAAGGTAGAGAAAGTTTGATCTCGGAATGATCACAAGTCATGTGGGAAGGTAACAACAGTTTAACTGAGAATGTAGAACCAATCTATCTGGAAATGTAGAACCAGTCTATCTAAGAATTTACCTTGGAATGATCGCATGTCTATCTGAGAAGGGAGAATAGGTCTATCTGGTAATGAACACGGGCCTTTTTTAGAAAGTATTTTATGTGAAGGTATCACCAATCTATCCGTGATCTTGTTCTCGATTCTTTTGTCATTACATGTATAGTTTACTGAAATGGTTTATATATAATGATTTATATTAATGGGATTGTTTTGTACATTAAAGATGTGACTTGTGGTGAAAATATGGAATATCGAATATGTGGACCTCGAGGGGAACCCTCGAAATCAAAACAAACAACATGCACTAATGCAGTTTCCAAAACACAAGCAGAAAATGCTGGCTATTGTCAAGAGGGTTGTTTTTGTAAACCAGGATATGTTTTGGAATCTACCAGATGTGTCAAGTCTGCAGAATGTGGTTGTATTTTAGATGGTATTTATATGGCTGTAAGTCTTATAGTCCAGCAGACATTTTCGCACATCCTTGCAGTCTAACTCAAAACATAAATATGAACAGTAAACAGGAAATTCTATCTGTTTATTACCATTTAGATAAGGTAGACTGTTCACGTTTATGATTATGAATCGGACTCGGATGTGAAAAAATACCTTGCTCAACTATATATGTATTATTTTTATTTTAATTATACTCAACGTCAGTATAGACCCACACAACATGCATGCAGACATACAACTACTCTTGGATGATATTAATTGTTATAATTAACTCAAATTACAACGTAAAAAAATACAATGGCGAGAGGAAGAATCATCTATGCGCATTCGCTGCTATAGTACAACGCAGGCGTACGTAATGTTCATACAAATAATAACACGTTGCTATATGCCTTATAATACTGGCGCAAAGCTGGGAAAGAGTGAAAAGGCACGTTTGCACAATATTATGGTATAACACACTGTTCAACACAACTTACACAAGGTCTACCTTAATATATTCCCCGTTTTAACTGTACTCTCCGTTTCTAATGTCGTCCAAAACTTACAAAAATCTTACATCAAAGGTAAAGATATCAGCCAATACAATAACCGACTGTAAGTCTTACCTAGTGTTGAATTGGGTATCAACAATATTGACATAGAAATCTCTTTAACATACAAAAGTTACATTTGCAATAATATGATTCAACGTGACAATTTGTAAACCCTACAGAACTGTGCAAAACATTTTAGAAAGAGAACAACTGCACAATATCGATTTCCATCATTGTAGATTGGAAGTACATATGTAGATCCAGGTTGTAACACCCAACAAGTATGTAACGAGGATAGCACTGTAACACAAAAACCTTTGGACTGTGGACCTAATACTGTTTGTAAATTGGATATAGAAAGCGGTATTTATGGATGTCATTGTGCTGATGGATTCCGCGGTGATGGAAAAATCTGTTCCGGTAAGTAAAGAACAAAAATCTATTTAATAACAAAACATAACGTGAGAGAATTATACACCATAAGCGGGATTTTGTTAACCAAAACGAAGACTAAATTCTACCCTTCAAACGCATTTACTGTTTGTTTGCAATAGATACAAATTTGTATCATGAAAACACATTGGTAATTTTAAATGACAACCAGAAGAATAAGACATGAATTTTTAACAATTTTCTAGATGATCCATGCTTCAATGTAACTTGTGGAAAGAATATGGAATGTAAAGATGGATCATGTCAATGTAAAATGGGATATCAAGGGGATTGTAATAATTGTGATGGTAAGTTATTAATTTATTAATATGTTTTGTACGTTTTATCAACACTCAACTATGATCCATAAATCCACAAGTTTTCTTCTCTGCAATTTACTTAGCCCATCACATGTCCACCTATTTATAACGACTCTTTATTTTTAGATATCGATGAATGTGCCACAAAGACTGATGACTGTAATCATATTGGTCAAAAATGTAACAATTATGAAGGAGGGTTTGATTGCATGTGTCTTGACGGTTACGTTCGATATGGCAACTATTGTGTTGGTAGGTGAATATTCTATGTCATGCATGATACCACTAGCCTTCGTGGAAATTCAGCTATTATATATTATGTTTCGCTCGTGAATTATGAATATATAAGTACCAATACATGTAATATAGGTACTAAAAGCATCTTACAAATTTCGATTGCAACATGTTCTTCAGAAGCTGTTTAATGGGTTGATCACAATAAATTCATAAAAAAAAAATACCGAATTGATAACTCTATATACAAAATAAGACGATTTTTACACAACATATTTTGTTATTTCGGCGCATATACACACATTTTAATTCTTTTATTGTAATATTTGTCCTTAGATATTGACGAATGTCAAGCTGGGTTTGATACTTGTGGAGAACATTCCGAATGTATCAATAAACATGGTGGTTATTTGTGTCTATGTTGTGCTGGTTTTGTGAAGAATGCTGTAGGAGATTGTGTTGGTAAGTTTTAACAATGTAACAATTATTAGCATTCTCTACATAATGCAATATCAGCTTCCAAACCTGTGTTACTGTGTTCGAATGATTAAGGAACCTGTGCTAGCCCCAACAGTTTTGAATTTCACAAAAATATTTATATCTGATTTTTTATCTTCAGTTGACCCCAGCAATCCGACAACAGTTGGATCAAAATGCTGCTCATGTACTGGTCCAGAATGCCAACGACCAGGCAAGGTAATTTGAAATTTCATATAATATAATGGTCTTAAAAATGTATTTGTTGATTTCTTAATTGATTAATCTGTCAAGTTTATATTCAATACTCAACTCCTTACTCAAGACCTTAACAATTCCAATGGTACCACAAAGTTACAAATGGAATGAAAATGGAATCTATTGATTGAGCGCATGAACAAATTTGACTTGTTTTAGGTGAAGGGAAATAACTCAAAAACTATTAGTCAAATGCAAAATTTTCCAATATCTCATCAATATATTTTAATCAGATGGAAACTGTCGTCTCACAAATGAATTTTACGCGCTTTGACTAAGGGAAATAACTCAAAAACCGTTCATCAAAGTCAATTGAAAATTGTAGATTCTATTGTGCCCACAAACAATAACTCACAATGCTCACAAAAAGTTCATCAAAATCAGACGAAACTGTAGTGTCTGTTATGGTAATGCCCACAAGAAATGTTGACGGACGGACCGATGGCAATATGCAACCATATGTAGATGTATAAAAAGGTTTTTTTATGGGACTTAAAGGAGCACCTTCACTATCCGTTCAACCAATCATACCTTAGTTTCAGGAATTGTTTTAGCTTACAGTAATAGTGTTTACAGCTCATCTTCGAAATTTGAGCCTTCATAATTATTCACGTTTGAAATTTAAAAGTTTGACTCCAATGTTTGAAGGGATTATGCGATTTTCGTGCGTTTAGTATTTATCAAGACTATTAAAGCACATTCAAGACCCAAATCAATCTCCGAAAAATGCCGACTGTTCCCCTTTAACATTTGGTCGAAGTCACAAACGCATTCTACAGTAATAAGCCTCGCGACTTAAAATCAGTTGTCCAATCCCATGCAGTCGACAAGGCATGTCCAAAACTTGCAGGGCCATATCATGTATCATGCAATTTGTAGGTTTGTGGTGATGATGGAAAAACATACAGCAATGAAAGAGCTTTGAGAATCACAGCATGTAAAGAAGACAAACAGGTTGATGTCAGTTACAAAGGAGAATGTAAACGTAAGATCCATTTTTCTGGTTTTGAAATGTTACGCATGCTAAGGGATGATACTCCTGTTTCCACCAACAGCGACCAGTAAAAGCTCTAATCAGACTGTTAATCATGAAGAAGGTTCACATTCGAAAATGCTTATCTGGCATGATCTCTTGGTAGAACGATGTTGATAATCTTCTTTCCACCAACCAGGGTCCGTCATCATCTGGTACCATATTTACCTGATATTATATTTTATTTTCAGCTGACTGTAGCGGGGTACAATGTGAAAAACCATTTGAAACTTGTATGGTTGATCCAGTGCAAGGCTTGGCTCAATGTGAATGTCCTAAATGCGGAGGCGCTGATCCATCTGCACCACCTCCACGTAACTTTTTTTATTACAATATTATTTTTATTTATTAAAATTTAAAGCCAAGGACTTATATTACTGTTTACATCCCGATGTCACCTAGTACAGGTACCTGCTACAGTATAGTCATATGCCTATTCTATTCGTGGAGGGTTCTGCCTTAAGGCTTTGCAGAAAAAATAATAAATAACCCCTGTCAGTGATGCAATTCGGAGTGGTTGTCATGACACAATTAACCGATTTCCTCTGTGCTACTGATTGTGCACGTCATAGATCCTTGGTCAGTCGAAATAGAGTATACTAAAACATCTAAAAATATCATTACATTAACCAAAAACATATTTTTCAGCACCAGTATGCAGTACTCGATTTGTTGTGTTCCCAAGTAAATGTCTTTTTGAACGAGTTATGTGTGAAATCGACGATAAAGTAACTACTCTGTATGACGACATTTCCCTCTGTGATAAGGGCCCTGGAAGTAAGTCGTTCAATGGCAATTATATAATTTTATGTAATGTATCATTTATAATCCAGGCCGTTGTATATAGCTTGTATATGTATCATTTCTGCATTTCCCTTCTGTTCATGAACTGTTGTATATTGCTTACAGTTCGGATCATTTAAATGCAATTGCAGGTTGCTTGAAATCATTTCTAATTCGTGCCATTTTAGAGGCTACTGTGGATAGTTTACGAATAATAATTATGATGATTAAAAACTGTTTTATAAATCCCTTACAATGGGGAACAAAACACCAGATAACACCATTAACAATGTATCTTTTCAGCATCTCCCGTCGGAACATGGACATCATGGGGAACATGTGACGTAGAATGTGGACCTGGTAAAATGAAGAGAACTCGAGCCGAAGTACGAAATAGAACCACTTATGAGAAACTTATTTTCCCATTAGAAGAAAAGTCTCCTTGTTATGGAAACTGTACATCAGGCAAGTGTTTATTACCACTTTTGACAACTTTTAAATAAAAGTTACCCCTCACTATCCATTCCGTTTAACTATCATACATTGAATACAAAACCTTCGACATGGTAACTGTGCCTCAATAAATCTTATTTCTCGGGTCCAGGGTAAGAGATCGAGAAAATACCTTCTAATTTTCAACCCAATTTTCCTTGTCAGTGCTGCATGCAGAAGGAATGCATTTAGTTATTTGCATGAGAAATATGACCGAAATCTACACCTTTGGAGACAGTTCAAAATGGACAATTTGACATAACCAAACTCAAGAGCATAAAAGAAGAACGTCAATGTCATTTCTAATATATATACTATATACCATTTACGATTCAGGTCCCTGTGCTGGATTTGTATGTGCTGGTTTTAGTCAAGTATGTGTCCCATCAGAAGATAATACAGAAGCCAAATGTACTTGTCCCAACTGTGATCATCGTGAAGATGAACCTGTGTGTGGTTTGGTTGGAAGTCGACAGTTAACATTTAAAAACAAATGTGAGCTCGACAGAAAGGCGTGCTTGGTCAATAAGAAGCCTTTCTTGCTGAGTGAGAGTGCTTGTGGAGGTATTGTTTTCTCCTGTGTTCTATTTTTTTTATTTTCCAAAGCTTATTGACTACTTTAAGAAATTGCTTTAATGGATAAAAATCGACATTTAGGGCGGACTACTCAATGCGTCCTGAATCCATCTGACGATTGTATATGGATAATATAAATAGTTCGGTGTTTACATTCAATCTTTACTATAATCGTTTTATCTCCTGTCATCCTGTCTTACATTTTAGCTCTTCCACTGAACTGTTCTCTGTATGCTAAATATAATGATATATCAGAAGGAGAATGTACAAGAGATACACCTGTAGCTGTTGGTATCTGTGAAGGAGGGTGTGGGATCAATCCTGATAAATGTTGTGAACCAACTGAACAAGAGGAGATAACTTATACATTAACTTGTTCTAATGGAACAACTGTAGACAGAAAGGCAAGTTTCCCCTTTACTGTTAAAATTTTCTTATTATATTTAGAATTCAATCAGAAAAAGTATGTAACATGGCCAAGAACATTTTGAAATGGACATTGTAAAAATGGATAAAAACAACCATTTTAATGAAACTCTGATAGCACATATTACCCGCTAATCTGCATCAAAATGTGCGTAACCTGCATTTGCATCCTTGTTATATCATACAAGACATCAGTCAATTGGACGCGAAAACTCTTTCAATAGTTAGAAAGATGAATTTCTACGGTTTATTTACTGTTACCTTCCAGGTTCAATCTGTCAGAAGATGTAAATGCCAGGATTTGGCTAATTAAGAAGTATTGAAAAAGAAACATTCGAGGTCCAGAACTGGAAGATCACTTTGTATTGTGGTGGTCAAAATATTTTAATCAGCAAAATAACTTCGTATGTTTGTGTTCTAATAAATATAATGATATATTGTACAAAGTCTTTATTTTAACAATAATATATATATATTTATAAATAAATTTCATTTAATTGGTCAGAAATGTTTAAAACTATGGAACCCTCTTGCCAAGCTGGGTGATGTTTTGCACTCAGGATTAAGCGTCGGAACTAAATTTAAAAAATTCCCATTTCTGGAAATCTACACATGCACACACAGAATTTTTTAAATATCCAGCGATATCATGGTTAGAGTATTACTTGCTTAAAGACGAAAGCATAGCCCAGACCCGTAGCCAATTTTGAAAGGGAAAGTTCAAGACGGGCAACCGAATTGGTCGGATGTCAGATATTATTTTCAGTGGGGAATCCATTTAATTGGGGGTGGGGGGGGGGGGGGGGGTCTACGGTCCCAGAATCATATTTTTTAAGGTAAGTGTGGCGAAGCTTATATTAATACCGTACGTAAGCCATGTTTGATAGACGTGTAAAGAATATATTCGATCAATTGTATGAACCACCTGTTTTCAATATGTTTATTTATGTATTATATAAACAAATACACCGTCAATCATACATTATTGATTGTGAATAGCTGTGATACCAGCCTTAAAAATGAGATTTTTATATATTGTTTGAATTATTGGGTTTTATTTGCACAATATTTCACATTGTTAAATTGTTACAAACTCATTGTTATACGCTCACAATGAATGTGGGGGGGGGGGGGGACTATATTGTCGTCACCCATGACAGTCCGTCTGTCCGCCCATCCACAATTGCTCGTAAATACTCTAGAAGGCACAATTCTCGGCTTATTTTGACGAAACTTAGTATGAGTGATTATAATTACCCACGGATGAACCCTATTGAAAAATAGAAAATCGAAAAATATTTAGTATGAGTTACGGACAATGTTCTTGAAATGTTCCTAAGCACGTATTTTGAAAATGCGTTCAATTTTAGTTTGTTCAATTATTTACAGATTTTTATGAAACTTGGTGTGAGTGTTTTTTTTTTATCATTCAAGGATGAACCCTTGTTATCGAATTTTTAACTTGTAAACACTCTTGAAGGCACGATTCTCGTGAGAGTTTGTTATATCCGAAGGCTGACCCCTATTTTAAATTACTGTTCTCGTTCTTGAAAACGCCTTCATTTTTTAGCCTGAAAACACCTTAGAAGTCACAATTCTTGACAGATTTTGACGAAACTTGTTTGTAATCACCCTTGGATGCACCCTATTGAAAATGTCAAAAATCAAAAAACATTTAGAATGGGTTATTGCCCTTGTTTTTTGAAAACGCGTTCAATTTTAGCTCGTAAACTCTTGACAAATTTTGACTTAACTTGGTAATATTATTCAGTATCGCCACAAAAAGTTCAAAAGAAGAATATGACTGAACATATTTCATACTGGTAATTGTAACTGTACTAACAAATATTTTTATTTAAAATCAAAGCTGCCAGCGGGCGTATATTACTTTGCCTGGCAAGCTATCTTTAAACCTAATATCACACAGCGAATCAAAGACTCGTAAAATATCGTGCGATCTGATTATAAATTTAATTGGATGTAGAACAAACCAAACCTAACGCAAATTTCCATGAAAGAAAATCCTTCCAGTCACATATTATTCGTGTCGTTGACCAGAGAAAATTAGACACGAGTTACTTTTTCTTGTTCTTACGTCATTCAATTAAAATTAAACCAAACTTTCGTGTAGTTTTTTAATAAGCTTTATTCCCAATTTAGCTTCTTCAGTTAGGGTCTAAAGACAGACCTCTTGAACATTCGTCACAATAACCTGATTACCCCTGCTTTAACCAATCAAATTCCTTCACTCTCTCACAAAATCCCAGCGTTGGAGAGGGCAGAATATTCTCCAATTTAAAACCAACTGAATTTGCGATTGATTTTCTATCCTAAACATGTGGCGACATGAAAAGATTAGCTTCTGTCAAGTATATCGAAATTAAAACAATTCTACTTCATCTTATTTAAATCGCCTACACTCGTGTACAGGGCTCTAAGACCAAAGTGAATAAAGCCCCACCAGAAGCTTACTGAGATTAGTCCTGATGGGTCAAGGCATGTGGGATTGTTAAACAGGGCAATGCTGAACAATTTAGAAGCAAAAAACGTGCATGGTTCATAATTTGCATACCCAAATCTACCACGTCGTAAATTACATAATGGGTAACTGTATAGCACAATATGACATATATTACAGAAAATGAAATGAAATATATATTAGAAATGCTATATCATTTTGTCTTCAGAGCACTATTATAAGGACCTAGTTGTCCATGAAAAGGTTGATCGGACACCCTTAAAACAATACAGTTAATATACACAAATATCAATATATCGATTACAAAAATATTCAAAATATATGCTGCATATTAGCATAATGCCAATAAGCCAATCTGTTGGTGAATCAATACTAAGGGTTGTTATTTTCTGCCATATCGCTCAGATCAAATACCCAGTTGAGAGCGTGGAAACATTATATTTTTGGAAAATATTCGTCTGGACAGGTATATAAATTGTAATAGGCCTATAAAAGGTATGTTTGATTTTGCACCATTTCTTAAGAAAACTTGTTCAAGTCGCTTTATATGGTCTAAAATTGGCTTATGCCAAGTATCAAAAGCCGAAATCTGAGTCGTGACATTAGTGCTTCTGTCCTAACCATCCCTGAACAACTTTCATTAGAATAAAACGATATTAATTTTTTACATTCTAAAATTTTAATTTCCAGGCGGGATTCAAGGAAATCCTTATTGGATTTAGGAATATGATTCTGTTTTATATAATACTAGCTTTTTTACCAACAATTTATGCACGTAGGTATTAATTTTGATGAAATTAAAAGATTTTCTACAATCGACAACCTGTACTGGTAAAGCATGGTAGTTTGGAATGACGAAACTTGGTTAGAACAGTGGTATCAGGCCCCTTTTTTGAGATATCTCACGACAGGTATCGCGTAACGGTATGATTATGATAGTCTAAATCCGTGTGACTTGAGGTTTCGATGGTCCGCTTCATATACTCCCCCCTGATATCTTTGGTCATTAAATGTAGTGCTGGTATCTGTGGCAGTAGATTTTTTAGAGGCGCTAATCGTAGAATGCGATCTCACTGAATAAAGATCATGTTCTCATGTTTCTTTCTTTCAGAATCACCTTATCGAGCAGGTAACTGCTCTGAAGCCTTTGTTATCTGTGATGGACTAGCAGAATGTGTTGAGACCAAGAGTAACTACTCATTTCAATGTATTTGTGGAGAAGGTTCTATGGGAGACGGATTTAAATCTGGAACTGGCTGTTTCTTTGGTATTGTATTTTGTAATTTCATAGGAAACCGCAATGTTATGCTTCAAAATAATATTGTCAAAGTTGCTCATATATCTCTTATATGTTACACAAAATTTCTTAAACAACCCTTTTTCTTGTATATTGATCATCTTTTTATTAGAGTATATATGAGCTAATAATCACTTTATCAGGGTCAGACGTCGGGTTCAAAAGCCATTCTTTACTTCGCCCAACATTATGGCAATCGGCAATCAACCATTTTTGTGTTCACAATAACCAAGAATTAATAGATAAAATTATACACAGGAAAGCTTGTGATTCTTTGACTAATTGGAATAAACTATTTCAAACATTTGTATGCATGCCAAACTATGTAAAATATTAAGTTTGTATGTATAATATATTAATATTTAAGAGAACGAACCATGTACTAAGAAGGAAGACTGTCACAAAGATGCTTACTGTGATCTGGGTGGAGAAAATATTTGCAAGTGCAATGAATATTATGTAGGTAATGGTAAAGACATATGTTTGGGTAAGTTCACTTTTTACGTATCCATACATCTATTTACTCAGATTTTAATTTTACCCGGTGGTGTTTTGCGCATAGCTCAAACATTTTGTGCAATTAGCAAAGTTCTGTATTGATAGATAGCAAACAACACTGGTGTCTGGTTTTAAATGAAACGTGGCATTTAAAACTGTCAGATATTTTCGTAACATCTACATGCTTTTTTTTATTTTCTATCTTTATTTGTTTTCGTATAGATATTGATGAATGCAAATCGAGCCCTTGTGCTCCGGAAGGTGGTAATTGTCAAAATCAAATCGGGGGTTTGCCGACATGTTCTTGTGATATAGGTTATGAGGGAGATGGTTTAACTTGCACCAGTAAGTATGCTTACTACAATCTGTAGGCATCCATAAGTTCTGTTTCAGAGGTATTGAAAAGAAGTATTCTTATACCAAACAAATTGTAATGTGTGCACTTTATGTCTTTCTCATAAGTTGCTTTATATTTTGATGTAAACGGCCCAGTTTGAAAGTTAGGGTTGTTGCTGTTGTGTTGTTGTCATAGAAATAACCATACTAAGTAAAAATAAATCTATCTTTTCTTATTTTAATGCATCAATGAGTCGGGATAGTCCGTATAATTTTAGCCACATAAATGCAGCTCTTACTATTCTGGATAAAATCTAAAAAAAACGCTGCTGTTCGATGTTGTGAAGGAATGCAGGCTTTTTTCCAATTTCTGATATTGCCCAGTACGTTATTTACCTTTATGGGGTGTATTTATCATACATATTATTAATATAAACCTCTTAAAGGGATACTACGTCTTAGGATGAACATAAAATTTTAATTTTGCTCAAATTTGGCCAATAACAGTATATATCCATCAGTGGACTTACCTGGTGTCCTAACTATACATCAAAATCCCTCTATAATCCGATATATCCACAAAATCAAGTAATTAATTATAAAACGCTTAATACATCCATTAAGCGATTTTCAAATCGTGAGTCTATGTAATCCGGTGTCATTTTCAAGGGGAAGTAACTCTCAATTATTGACCTCGACATTGTCAGACATATTTTGAAGACGGAATAATAATGCCTCGTAGGAGATTAAGCAACTCCGCGAAAAAGCAATTCATATAATTTAGAATGAATATCTCCACCACTAACACAATTTTCAACGAATATTAATCATTGGCAAAGTTTATTTGTATACACCGGGAGATGATTGTTTCCTGTTTTAGCGTTGATTACCCAGACTCTTTTTTTCTCAAACTGAACGGACTTGCTTACTTTTTATAAAAAATTTTGATTATAGTTTTATTGTCGCTTTTTCAAACTTGATAAAGTGTGGGATGCATACTTATTTAACCAATGGTCACTATTAAACACAAATATTAGCCACAGGACGAGTGTGTTCTAAGACGTGGTATCACTTTAATATCACCGTCTTAATTTTGCTACATTTGACCCTTGCGACTGTGACGATACGAAACTATGGCTTCAAAGACTGATTGTATATTTTGCTTAATGAAATGCCTCTAATTTCAGGAATTTGTTTATTCGACGACGACTGCTTTTCGCTTGCCTCGTGTGTAAATAAAGATTGTAAATGTAATTCGGGATATGAGGGTAATGGATTTATCAGCTGCACAGGTAAGAAACTTCTCAAACTAACACAGAATAAAATTTAAAATTAATATTATAATACTTGAACTGATAAAATATTAAATTATTATGTTCCGTTCTTTGTTATCATTTTTTTCTGTTTCGGTTTGATCATTACAAGGTAAATAGCATCATAGTTGTTGAAAGTGAAAATGAACAGTAAATATATCAACACAAGAGCTATTTAAAATTGTATATAATATGGAAATTTAATGGTGAAAACAGTTCACAAGATGGAAGTTTAGGAATGACTAAACCATTGATTAACTGGTCTATTCTTGGCAACCATTGCATTTTAACTTTAAAATTCCTTTCAACGGCTTACTAGAGTTTCCAGAGTTTACAGTATCCTTGTTTACTGAGTTCATTAATTAAAAGTATCACTACACATGTGCGTATGATTTGGTAATTTTGAACAATAAAAATCCAAAAGTTTCAGTTATATAAATTGATTAACATACATCATAATTTATATGTTAATGAAAATAAAATGGTTACCTAATTAATTATGTCTTTTGGGTGTTTAGGACTATTTTTAATATCCTGTTTCTTAAATCCTCAGATATAAATGAATGCGAGGTCAACCCTGGAATATGTACAGCTCCAGCAGTGTGTAAAAACACACAGGGTGGCCACACATGTGGTTGTCCGAATGGTTATTCTGGAAATGTGGGAAAATGCACCCGTAAGTATTAATTTCAGCATTAATCTACATAAGCCAACACCTGCATGTCGATCGAATATAGTATTCATTCATGTTCTTCTTAATCTTATGAACAAAATATATGCTTAACAAATATCAGAAATAAGTCAATGCCCACAAAAGAAATTTTAAAAATTAGGCATAAACATAAAGAACTACATTTTGGACCTGCAGCAAGATCTAAAAGTCTAAAGCACTGCACAACTCAACATTGGATGTTAATGAGAAAATGATAGCAATAGTCCATGAAAGTGCCCATTTTTAGACATTTATTTACGTATTTTCTTTAATAATTCTAGTATTACCCAAGGATTGTCAGGAAATCTTTGAGAACGACATGACTGCTAAGAGTGGGGATTATTTTGAAATTGACACTGATGGAGCAGATCCTATAGATTCTATGATGGTAAGTATAATATTACAGCAGGTACATTTTAGTCTATCATGTCATGAAGTTCTTCCAACCCTCAATTTTTGTAAGAATTTTTTTCTGGAAATCAATCAAAGTTATCAACCATTAATCAACAAACAATATTGGATTATCGAGTGGATTTGGGTAACTATATTCAGATATGAGATAATATGTGATGATTTTTCTGCCAATTTTGTAAATTCTTAACCGATTACTTCAGGTTAAATGTGAATTTAGAGATGATGTTGGAATAACAATAATGGAGCCCAACACAATAAAACCTTCTACCGTTGGCAGTACAGAGATATCTATATCTTACAAACCAGGAACAATAGAACAAGTTAAGGATCTTGTTTCAAAGTCCGCTTTTTGCTATCAGTCACAATGGTAAGTAAATACATGTAATAAAATGCGTGTCAACTTTTCTTATGATATTTTCATGTCTAAAGATTACAGTTTTAGTTTTAGTAATGTGCCATTACTTTAAATCTGATCACACGGTTTACATGATATCCATGAGTTGAAGGGAGAGCCTTTTTTATATTGGAAAGCTGGTTGTAGGCGTCGCCGTGCTGAGCATAATTTCCCACATGACAATACAGGACTCCAAACTAATTTCCATTTATTATTTGAACCCAGAAGCAATAGAATACATTTACCACCAGTCTGTGGAACGAGTACCTGTGAAGTATTTTATTTGTTTCTGTTACAGGCTAGAATGTTCTAACGGATTTGACCTATTTAAAGACGGCCTATTCTATTGGACTGATGGAGCTGGAAATTCATATAAAACATGGGGCGGGTCTGGAGAAGATGGCCAGGTAAAAACATGTTTGTCATATCTTGATGAAAAACCAAATAATACTTTTCATTATGTTCATCTATTTTGGAATGCTATTTCAGCTCATTCACGGATTGTCAAATTCTGATGGATTAGATGCCTAAAGCATTAATAGATATTTAAACAGTTTTCCCAAAATTCAGAAAGGTGTTTAATACAAAAGCATTAACTCGCAATGTATCATAAGTCTATTACTGATCAACATATTCATCGTTTCAGTGCCCATGTGGTGTATTAGGATACTGTGAACAAGGTGTACCATGTAACTGTGATGGTACCTCGACTACTACTGGTCATGATTTTGGAAAAATTATTAATGGATCAATGTTACCAATAGCTACTTTACAATTTAATACAGCCAGTAACGGTGCAGCTAAATACAAAGTTTCTGAAGTTGTTTGCGCTTCAAAAATTATAGGTAAGTGTAAGGTGTTTGGGTCGTATCTATTTTCGCTCTAAGGCTGAAGTACAAGACAAGGTACATTTTTATTCAGAAATTATTATATTTTCTTCTATTTCTCTATATTATATTATAGTAGTAACTTGTAAGCAAGTCGTTGTATTATTAACTTTAACGAACTTGGCTGAAACTTCCGCGGCTAAGTCAGCCACACTGCTGAACGCAGACTTCATTTGACTTCAGTTTACTACGACTGCTTCATGTAGTTACATATTATTAAGTATACACTAATAAGATGAAATACTTTGAAATGTGGGATAAAATAAAGCAAAATAGTGACTCACGGTGGCGGCTTGTTTTGCTTCCACAGCTCAGGTTTTACCTGCTGTTGAGATATTTGAGATACCATTAAGTTATAATTAGTCAAATTAAAAATAAAAAGATAAAATTCAAACATTATCTTTACTGTTTTACGAGGTAAGCACAAAAAACCTTTTTCAGAACATCAGAGAAGTTGTTTTTAAAACAATAAGTGACAATTCTCCTTTAAGGACTAGTTTATTTTATGTTTGACTAATGGTTCTTTTTTACTTTGCCAGATATACTAAAAGATTGCGATCAGATAAAGATGGATGGTTTTGAAGAAAATGGTCCACAATACATAGATATTGATGGTCCAACTGGTGATCTTCAACCAACTTTGGTTCATTGTGATATGACACAATATGATCACGTTGGGTTGACGGTAATGCCACATGATATGTAAGTTTCTACCGCCATCATGAATTTGTAATGAGGTCGTACATGTCAATGATTGGTAAAAAAGACGGGTTTAGCAAATTCCAAGGAAATCTTTAACTATTGCCGTGTAAGTGAATATCAGGCGACTCATTTATTTCAGAAGTCCACACAGCCAAAGTTTTGTGTATATGTTATTGTACAGTGCATTGATATTATTATATATTTAATTGCTTACTGAAATTTTATCATCGTTATGTTTCAGAAAAGAGCCAATAATTCCGGATTCGGGTGGTCCCATTGACCTTACCTATCTCACACCAGATGACGTGATCCAAGCAATAATACAGGCTTCAGCATTCTGCTTCCAAAATATCAGATATGAATGTCGGGTATGTCTTGATCGTTGTAACTAGAAATTCAACTAGGGACATTTTGCATTCATGCACCTGAGTCACAATGAATAAGGCGAAATGATCTTTGTCAACAACTAACGCCATATTTGTTATGAGATCTTAACGCAATATCTTCTTCTCCTTTTATTTAAAATTCCTTTTAACTAATCTAAGTGATGCTGGTTAAATTTTCAAGATTATATACCTGATAAATTTTTCGTAATATTTTAGTGAATCTTTATTGTCTATTTCTAGAATGCACCAATAACTTTTGAAGGAGAACAAAGAGTGTATGTTAAGGCTGGAGGTGGTAATGGAACTCAGTTAAATTATTTTCCCGGTGGAAAACAGCGGGAAGGATATTGTGGATGTGGAGTAACATGTTCCTGTGTGAATACCAATTATACCTGTAACTGTGACATAACGGATAACGTCACAAGATATGATATAGCCAATCATACAATCAAGGAAGATTTACCAATAAAATCTTTTTATGTCAACTTAAGTCTACCTGATTCGTATTCAAGAATTATTGTCGGTCCCCTGTTATGCAGCGAGCAGCAGTTCGGTAAGTAATACCTAAGTGGAGGGGATTGGGAAGGCCAAGGCCAGGACAATGACGCAGTCCACCCACCCTCCGCGATAAAACGAATTGCCGACCCATATCATCATAATATTGATATTGTTTCTTATATTCGAGGTATGTAGCAAGGGTAAAGTTTTGATACTCCAGGAAATCTCATTTCCCTATTCCCTACATCTGTGATGCACGCCCACATTGCCCCCTCGGGATATATTGCTTGCTGTTAATGAATTAGCCCCTGTTTTAAACGATAACGAAGCTATAGTCCGCCTTACAATTCGACAAAAGGTGCAATGAGAGTTTAAAATGGTGTACCTTCGAGCACGATTTTAAGAATTTCTGATGCGAGTAACGATTAAAGATTTAGTCAGTATAAACCGTCAATGAGAAGTGCCCCTTTTTTTATACAGGAATAGAGCCAAATTGCGAGAAATACAGAAATATAGGTGTAGAAGATCCTTACACTTACTTGATCGATCCCGATGGTCCAAAAGATCCAGAAAAGCCCACTGAAAGTAAGCATTTTAAATTCATGCTTTTAGATCACTATCTCGACAAATCTGGCCCTATTCGTTCTCTGGACGTGATATACGGAGATATAAGCTCCGTGTTCCAGAGGCTGTGTGCATTTAAGATCCCTCGACAGTTGGAAATCGAAAAATAGTAGGCTAATGTCACCGTCCTAGATGAAATTCGAATGAAGAGATGTCCATCAATCTAAGAGTTGATAATACGTCGATTTTAGTTCTTGTCGACGACAAGTTGATGTGAAAGAGATTCAATTTGTCATCTGATTTTGTTCAGATTGGTTGTCTTGGTCGATTATAACATACACAAGGATAGCTGGTGCATTTGTTTTTTACTTCCAGTCAATTACGAACCATTTGAAGTCGAATGTCAGTTCAATGCAAATCCACCACAAGGTGTCACAATAGTTCATCATGACCAAGAAGGCCCCGTAAGTTAACATTTTTCATCATATCCTGTGGTATATATTTCTAAAATGATTTGCTTACCATTGAACTACTTGCTATGGTCAACTGGTTTTCCAATCAACATTTAAGTATGTCATTCGTTTTAGAGAGATGTGACTTCAGACGACTTTCAGTTCGAAATGGTCTATAAGAATGTGGATAAAAAAGGCCAAATAGCACATTTGAAAGATCGGTCAACCTTTTGCGGACAATCTTTGGACTTTGCTTGCACCAATACTAAACTTCACAATGGTCGTAAGTACATATTATTTTCAGTTTACGCCTTTGATATTGTACAGAGACGTTTTCTTATTTCTTCTTCCTCATGGATCTTAAAAACCACACGATGGCAAAACATAGGTCGCAGGAGGAATCATATCAATCATCATTGAGTAAGAATTTCAAAATGAAGCAAACCCTGTTTGGCGCCACATCCATCAAAGTAATGATGTTAAATAGGTTCAATCTGTGTGCAATTCTTATTCAATGTCACGACTACTAAACTTGATTTGTCCCCATTTGGAAAAAAATGTTTCATTTCAACTTTATTTTTGCACATTTCATACAATATGGTTATATTTTCTTTACAAGCTTCTGATAGCTCGGTCGCCCTACAATTCGACAAAAACGTTCAATAAGAGTTTAAACTGGTGTACTTTCTAGCACTATTTCATAATTTTCTGGTGATAACGATTAAAGATATAGTCAGTGTAATACCGTCCATGAGAATATTTAATAATGTTGGTGAAGACAATCTTAACTTCTACTGTACGCTTTATTTTTTTTATAAAATGACGCCGATAACTAAAAGTGTCTCATTATTTGAAACGGTAAAAATTGGGACTGCAGAATTTACTCAATTACTGAATGTGTTTTCTAGCTGAAGAAGGAGTAACGTGGAAAGATATTGATAGTAATAGCCACAGCTATTTATCTGGCGGTGAAGCGGGAGATACTGGATGTAGATGTAATGTTGAAAACAATCTTAATTGTGCTGAGGGAGATAAAATCTGTAACTGTGATGCTGATGCAGGCGGAAATTAGTACGTATTTGACCTCAAATGACAATGATCCTGATTTAATGGATCCTTATATCATTGAGATATGTTCACTTTGAAGGTAGTAAATTTTTTATGAAATGTATTTAACCCCGGTGGTATGAACACTACCTTAGGTAAAAGTATTACCACTTCTCTAATGATACCAGTTCATTACATATACCTAAGAAGCAATAATGGAGACGTGTAGTTCTTGTACTCATTTCCGATTTTCACAGCCCATGATATATATGATATTTCCTTTTTTTTCTGGCGGCCATCTTAGAAAATCTGAACCGCTGAAGTTGGTTCCACGGACAAAATCAATAGACAGGTCGAAAGGAACTCCATGTAGAATTTGGTACTTTAGTCCGGCCAATAACGTTAATCCTCAAAAATCGTGCGAAGCCACCTAACTATAAGTGAACAGAACTTTGGTTTCAAAAGACAAAGCTTCGATATAATTATTATTTAGTTTACATGGTCTTGATCTTGATAAGTTTTAATGACAGTTTTTAATTGTTAATAAAGTTGACTCAAGGTGTGTATAATGATATATATATATATCAATGTTTCTTTTTAGCAACGATGACGGCGAGTTGGGAAATATCACCCATTTACCAGTTTCTTCTCTTGACTTTATGGATATAAGAAATGATATTGGTTCCCTGCAATTTACGCTTGGACCTTTGAAATGCTTTGGTTAGTTTATTTTATATAGCAAGAGCAAGGAGATAAGAGATAAAGGATTCCCGGTCTATTTTTGACCAAACCTCTTGGATATAACCTTTCCAGAATTATCCGTAGAAACCCATTTAAAACTGAATAAAAATGTTATATTGTTGTTGTGATCGATCAGATTAATCACTTAGAATCCATTTTCCTAACTGTATAGCAAAATGGCTTCAAGAGATCTAATTCAACTAAGATACGTCTCTTTGTACAAATATCATTGTGTAAGTAATGGCAAAGTATTGGATACCAGAAAATCACGTTACAGATATAGTTTTCTGTGTTCGCTTTTCTTATTGGATTATTACATAATTAACTTTACTGGATGTTCCAGCAAATAAACCCTTGACGAAAGGAAATCTATATTGAATGTTATTATCCGGACGTCAGGACGTATCATAAGCTAACATTACTATAATGGAAAATAAGACTTTTTCTTTTCATTTTGATAGAAACCTTCACTACCTGTTACGATATGGAAAAATTTTTGAAAGAACAGAAAAAACTCGGTGAAGCTAAGCTTGAAAATGGTAAATATACAATTGATCCTGACCGATCCGGAGATAATCCACCATTCACCGTAACCTGTGAATTTCCTTTTACAGTGGTCAGTACTGGTCCAGGTAAGGCATCGCGAATTTGTATACTAAGGATTTGGTGGTTGTGATAGTGTGTGGAAATCCTGAAATCCTGCTATATAGGTATGTAGACGTTTGGGACACCGCCATTGACTAAATCCCGCGATTGATCAGATTGTCCTAGTCGTTGAAAATCCAGTTGTTCCTAGATTCTACCATAGTGTCGATTATAAATCCTGCAATAGAATGGGTACAGCTAAATTATTATCTATTTCCCCCATATTGCTGTTTCAAAGCTATTTTGTATGTTTTCAGCCAATTTAACAGGACCAGACCCTGGTTCAACTGAATGTTATACTGTTGAATACTTTGATTTTGATGGTAATGCTTTAACGGGATCTCAAGTAGCTGTAAGTTTTATACTGTACTTTTCTAGGGAATTAAGGAAAATAAAAACATGCGTATTGAACAATCATGACAAAAAGCCAAAACGTAAAACGTATTGATTTGTGTCTTTTTAGTATCTTGTGTCAGATTCCGACTACTGTACACAAAAACTTGAATACGAGTGTAAGAATGCCCCTTTAACTGGGAACGTAAATTATACAACTTGTGACGGCCGGCCACAAACAGGTAAGCTTGGCTTTTTTCCCATCCACTTTCTTTGTTTTTAACACTCGTACTGCAGGAACTAAAATACCAAGCTTGAAATAATCCATTCTGGTAACAACAAAATATAATTGTGTCACGTACTTTTCTGTTTTGTTCAAAAACATCTACATTACAGAATGTAATGTTATTGTATGTAGAATTTACGAGGAGAGTTTATAACGGTGGATTAAATTGAGATGTATTTTACAGGTTGGGCATTAAGTAGTGGATACGACATGTGTTCTTGTGGTTTAACTGGAACATGTGTTGGAGGTTTAAATGAGAAATGTAATTGTGACACTGTGAATGGTGAGAAAGATGAAGGCACGATATACAATTCTACAAGATTACCAGTTTGTGAAGTGTGTATAACTGTAGATCCTCTTGGTGGCAATAATCCTCCTTCACCTGGTGGTGTGCGATCAGCCTCATATGATGTTGGGATGCTAAAGTGCTCTGGAGCAGGATTTGGTATGTGTCTAAAAAATAATATCTGTTGTACACATTAGAGTGTTAATGAAAGTACACAACCATACTAACACCACTACTAATACTAGCGTACTTATTGATCTAGATAATTTGGAGCATCCGAATCTGAATTGGTAGCATGACTGTTTCAGTTACCGCTAGTTACCATCCGTTATTGAAGTTCTTTTCAAATTCTGTTCGTCTGTTTAAATCGGTCATAATCTGTAACCATTCATATCGCAATGCCTTTTAATGGGTCAATTTTGCGACGGCTCTCTGATGAGATGCTTTGAAACGCCTGTCCACCAGAGCCCAAAAGCCCAGAGAAGCGAAGGCATGTTACTTGCTTTCAATTGAAATAACTTCAATTAATTTTAATCGTTTTATCGAGTCTCAAAACGTAGAAATTCTTTTTTTTTTTAAGTTGGTGAAGCTCATTGTCAAGATCTAAGAGTCACTTCTACCACATCTGGTGTTTCCTACATCGGGGATAAGGAGGCAGGTTCAGTCGTGCCAGTTTATTGTGACATGATATCTGAACCACGGATAGGAATTATGGTGAGTTCCGTCCGATTTGAGGTTCCGGGGTGTAAATATTCTTGATTGTGGAAAAGGGGGTCCATTAAATATTCTCCCATGTCTCTACGCAATATAATTATCTCAATAATTGAGATTTAATAAATCAACCTTTAAATAGATAATTAATATAATAATTTATACAGTCGATTATTAATTGTTTGGCAGTAGAACAATAGTCTGTATCTTTTTCAGGAATTTCGTTTGAATGAAACAACTTACACTATACCAGCGACTCAAGGCATTGATATATCTCCGGTGTATTTTGGATACGGCAAAGAGGATATGGAAAGATTGATAAATGACTCTTACTATTGTACCCAGGAAATCTTTATAGATTGTAATTCAGGTGCCCTAGATCTGAGTGGTATTAATGGCTGGTACTCTAGAGCTGGTGATCCACAAGACAGTTGGGGTGGTAATATAGGAAGTAAGTTTTGAAACAAATAGAAACTGTGAATAATCATGGACAACAAACATCACGTAAGATGAAGCAATAATACTCTTTGATTACTGACAAAATACTTTGCACAAAAATAACTAACTCCTTGAAATTCAATTCTTAGTATGCAAACTTGCGCCAGTAATGCGTATTGAAACTGTATTTTATATACCAGGAAACCCAAACGTATTTAAGAGAGTAATGTATGCTCATCAAAATGGTGTTTCTAAGAATCATAGGGTTGGGGGCAGAGTAGGGGCCACTTTGTCTTTCTATTACACACTTTGCTTGAATTTCAGAGACATTAAAATGTGAAGGTACTGGATCCAACTGTAATTGTAACAAAGCCGGTGCACAAACTGATGGAGGCATCCTCGGTGATAAAGCTTTATTACCGATTTCTAGAGTTGTTCTTGAACCACACTCGTCAGAGCGTATACTTAGGATTGAACCAGTTAAATGTTATGGTATGTTATCTCAATTACAAGCCGCTTAATTCTGCTGGCCTCAGTAGATTGTGAAAACTTTCGAATATTCTTTTGGTAATTACTGTATTAAACAAATTCAAATGATAGTCACTGTATCAAGATCACGTCCGCCCACTCTCTCGTTCGGATACGTTGGTCTAGCACATTTTTCTTGAATGGTACACAACCATACTCCGAATTTCCATTCTGAAAAATGTGACGAATAATTATTAAAATTGAGCAAATATTCAAACGATTGCGGTAAACTGAAAAAAATGTCTCTTGAAACGTTCGTTTTAATAATTGCAGAATTGCGTCCAGATTGCTACCAAATTATGATGAGTGGAAACACAAAAACACCATATTCTGAAGATCGTTATGTCATAGATCCAGATGGTCCTGATGGTGTAGATCCATTTGTGGTTACATGCTCATTCAACTCGGAAGAAGACAACGCTATTACAGAGGTAGACTTTAATACTGTCAAGTTACAATACAACTTCTCAGGCTTGGATCTCTTTCATGTTTTGAGCAACACATAATAGCTTTGTAAAATAAGTCTGAAAAGCTTAGAATATTAAGAGAATTTATCTTTGTTTTTTAGCAAAATTTTTCTTATATTATCGTATTGAAAATATTTTCAATGAGCACAACTTTGTACTTTTTGAATAACACAACGCTGAAGAACTTTAAAGTTCAAACTTGGTCAATAAGAGTATACATTAATCAGTTAAACTTACCAGGTGTCATGACTAAAGAAGAGAATCTCTTTTTAAGATAAATTGTGCCTCCTACAAATATTTAATTTTCTAGTTATCATTTTCTAAAAAATATTAACAGGTTCCGGTAGACAGTGGTGCTAATAATCCAATCACTGGTAAAGTTGCAGATTTTGGTTTTCCTGTTCCTATCACATATAAAGATGCTACACCCGAACAAATCAATGTATTGGCCAACCAATCTCCGTTTTGCCATCAGGTTTGTATTTGAAAATAGAATAAATTAAAACTGTTTTGAAGTCAAAATAACAGGTTTTTCTTACACTTTGCGAGATTTAAAGAAAAATTTCAATATACACCTATTTTAGCGATTTTAGCAATTTGTGAGTTGGAATCTTCTAGCTGGGACGACTTTTAATAATTGACAACATATTGTAATCACCATGGCGGTGTATATTGTATGCAGTCCTTTATGGTAAGGTAGTGTGATAAAATATTTTCTTAACTTATCTTTCATTTTGTCTATAGGGCGTGGAGTATGAATGTACCAAAACACCTATCAATGGATCTGTAGACTATCGACTGTATGATAATACCATAGCCACTGGGTTTGGTACTGGATATGATACAAATTCTTCTGTATGTCCATGCTATGCTCTTGGGTATTGTGATGGTTTCGCTTGTCGATGCGATGAAAAACTATCATCAAAACAACGAGATGGTGGAGAAATTACAGACAAAAATAATTTACCAATAACAGTTGTTAATGTAGGAGGCCAAGTCGAGGCTGGAGCTTCGGCTAATGTTAAAGTAGATTCGGTCAGATGTGAAAAGAGACCTATTGGTTTGTACATGTTGTATTGAAATATAAATTGAGGAGTCGGAAGAGTAGTTGGAGACGACATATTCGGCCTAGTTCTCACTGTAAAACTGATGATAGAATGAAAATATAAAATCTGGTTTAGAAAATGATACGGTGATCAAGACCGTTATAAACATACTTGCATGCATTCATAAGCAATTGTACACATCATTGATATTACATTGATAGTAATAACTGTGCGTGGGAATTGCAATTAAAACCTTGATATTTAGGCTGTCATCCCTTCCCTTTTAATGTCATGGAAAGAAAATAATAAGAGAACTATATAATTTTAAATAACATTGAAACACACTAAAAGTACCGAACTTTCATTCAACGTCAAAAACTATTTTCACACACTACCACCATTTCATTTGAAGTTATCGACCTGATCATTTACATTTTGACCCTGTCTTTAAACATTGATTTATTACAGATTTACCTGAGAATTGTGAAGAGGCAAAGGTAAAAGGCTATAAAACCGGAGAGGTAATGATCTATCCATCTTCTTCACTAGATCCATTCTTTGTGTATTGTGATATGGAAATTAATCCGGGACGTGGTAAGATATTCAGTCTTTATGGCCAACTAAGATAAACAAGCTATAACCTGTTAACTAAGGTTTTCTCTCGTAATAGGTCCTTCATCAGAGAGAAATTTTATCACATTGAATCGAATGAAAGAATCTTAAATTTTCAACGTTCCAACTTTCAACATCTTTAAGTTTTAAAAAATATCAGGTGAAGATTTGTCGAGTTTTCATTTTTTTCTGTATTTGAAGTAAAAGAACAGAGACAAACATCCAACGCGTTACTCTTGGGATAACGTATAATTGATAGATTTAGCGATACCTGTAGTGGGTTTTGGTCACTGTGTAAACGAAGACGCTTATGAAATTTGAATATCATTAATCTCACTGTAAGAATAATCGTTTTAACCTTCTGTTAATTAGGTACTGCTGTCGTCCTACCAGATATTGAACCGGATCAACCTGTAGCCTATGATGGAGTTGCTGTAAATGTTACTTATAAAGGTTTAACGGATGCCCAATTGCAGGCCCTTGTTTCTAATTCTTATAGATGTTATCAACCAGTTAGATATAACTGCAGGAAGACAAATGTAGGTTCAATTTATTCAGTTTTTCCGAGTTAAAAAATCGTCCAGATAATGTAAGCATGTAAATTGCATTGAGTCTGGTAAACGTGATTCGTGCTATAATGACAAAATAGTAAGAAATTCAGTATATTTTAAATATTAAAAATAAATCAAATTAAAACTTTAATGTTAATTCTTCTATATTTATAAGTGTTGAAGGTGTCGTTGAAGAGGCAAGACATAAAAACCATCCAAAGATAGCTGGTGTCTCTTTGCGACTCAATTATATCATTATTATGAATTATGAATTATATATTCATTTAACAATATTTCATCCAAAACAGTTTGTTGGAGGTGATAAATTTTCATGGACCAGCGTTGATGCCAGTGTCAATAAATATTTTGGAGCTGGATCAACTGGTGAATGTACCTGTGGGAAAGAGAATAAATGTGCTGGTAGTGGAGATAAAAGTGAAATGGAGGCTAGGTAATAGATTAATTGCTTACACAAACAAAAAATCACAAATATTTTCTAGTAACTAGGACGAATTATCATGTGTTGAGAAAACATGAAATAAAATTCAAGGAAAATATAGCTTGTATGAAACTGGGCAAGGGATTCTTTGCCTAATTTGCAGCTAAATTTGGAGAATCATGAAATTGAATTTGATCAATCAAATTTAAAAGAAAATTGGGTAAGATGAACAGTAGATCACAGAACAGTGATGTAGACACAATCACAACAAACAAAAAATATTGGTTTGAAATGATATTGGCCGACACATTAAGATGGACACTGGCCTATCAATTTGAGAGGTAGTACTTTTGCAGTAAGACATTGTTGTATACATCTAGATGCACGAACTTGAGGCTTTATTCAATGAACATGGCGAATATATCATAGGGTCAAATGATGTCGACAGGCTAACGCCACCTTAGTGACTTAAAGACTTGTTACTGATTTTTAAGACAACAAGCTGTATAAGAGATCTTTTTATTTGTCCATAGAGATTGTAATTGTGATATGGGTGATGACGAAGATAGAATCGACGCTGGTATTTTATCTGTGAAAGAAGATTTGCCGCTACGAAGTTACACCTTTTTACCAACTGGTCTTGATGGATCGTCTGGCAATATTACTATCGGCCCTTTGTATTGTGGTCAAAATACCATTAGTAAGTTTTGAATTATGCTATATCATTAATTCATTAATGCTGTTCAATTGGTTAACGTTCTCAGGCTATTGAAAAGGTAAACTTACATTGATTAGAAGTAATCATATCAAGAATTGGTTCCACATTAATAAATCATTCTTGATGCCTTCAAAGTCTGAATAATAAAATGTTACCTAAATGAATAATACTGTATCTTTTTGCAGATCTTGATGAATGTGAACAAGGTTTTCATGATTGTCACCCTCTTGCTACGTGCAGTAATTTACATGCAGGCTATTCAAATCCAAGCTCAAGGCCAGGCTTTAAATGCAGTTGTACTGCAGGCAATCGAGGGATAGCTAAACCGCAACTTTTTGTAAACGGACGACAATGTTTTGGTAGGTTTGTCTTCTTAATTGAAATTAGTTGACCCGTAAAATACATCCCTAAACTTTTCTTTCAACAATGAAGTGCCGAAGACACGTTCAAAGGTCATAATTTACCGTTTGCGGTGGTCAATATAATCGGGGTATGAATTGTTCAGCTTAGTTCATCAGTTCTTAAAGCGTTCACAGCCTACATAGATAAATTATACCTAAAAATAGTTCTAAAGTATGCTATTTTCATCTATGTATGAACTTGATCAAACTGAATTTGTTTTAAAAGGGTTAAACTGTTAATTAAGCAGTTGACCTAGTTTTGGTGTTTGGTTTCATAATGTCTCGATACTTTTAGTTGAAACCATCAGAATACACAAGAGACATTTTTCTCTGCAATAAGGACCGTAGTTTTCAAACAGCTTCCAAAAAGCTTATGTAATCTTTTTGAAAAGTTTTGGCGGTAAAAAATTAACTTCTGGATATTTTTATTAAAAATTTTCAGGTACGTTAAAAAGGGACAGAGGCGCCATGTTTTTCGACCAATCAAATCTAATCTCAGAAATGGGATTATTTTTTTTAGCCAATCAGTTTTTCCTTCAACACTTCATCCGTTAATAAGTCTATAGACACAGCTTTATGAAACAACAATCACTGGTTAAAGTTTT